CGCCCTTAAGATGTGCTAGACTAGCAAGAACCCATACCGTCAGCGGAGTCTATCTGTATTTCCATGATTCCCGGAGCACACAGCAATATCTCTCCTGTGGGTAACAGGCTGATCAAGATAGTTTGGTAACCATCTTGTGCATCTATCTGTATGTCATGCTGGGAAGGTGCAGGCGGAAGGTATTGAGTAGTTGGTTCATCGGGTGTGCTGGTGATAGCACCTTATGAGGTTATTGTGGGACAAGCAAATTTCGGGATACAGTAAGGGGGGCTATCAAAGCTCGCATGCACAAGGCCGCCTGCCCGATACAAGGCCGGTGAAATCGCTTGGCACAGACGTTGCCGTCTGTAAGGCCGGTTATGGTCCCCCGCCTGCCAGTAAGGCCGGTCTCCGTAGAAGTCACGCTGGTTTCGCCTCATATTACACCCTCTCTCGTGCACAGCCTCGCGGAGCTAACAGCACGTCGCAAAGCTCCCAGTGAAGCACTGCAGGAGTACCCCTACCGAGATACATGCTTTGTGCAGCGGGTGAGCTGTGCGGTTTGAAAGGCCGAACGCCCATACTCCCTAAGGCTGAGTCTTACGGTCTGATTATTTCCGGATTGGATTTGGGGGGGAGGGTCCTTTTCTGGGCGTCTTACGGGCAGGAAAATGGCAAAATCCAACAGCCCAAAATCCAACAGCGCAAATTCCAACAGCGATTTCGGCCGGCCTGTTAGAAAATTGGCCCATGTTCCAACAGCGATCCTGTTGTAATACCGCTGTCAGAAATGGGGGGGGTACCCCCTGGTCACGTCCCGATCGTGCCAGAACGAGGAACTACACCGTGTGCTGGCCAAACAGAGTCCAGTATCATGAGGTCATGCACAAACCCTCTGCAGGTATCTAAAATTCAGGGCGTTCTGCGTCGTGTTGGCCGCACGCGAGCCGAAAACGTCAACCCTGCCACATTGCTCTGCTGACATTCTTGCCTTTGGGCCGAAAAAAGCCGTTTTTGCGCCTGCTGCATGCGTGACCAGTTCAAAACGTATGCCAGAGAGCGGCCGTAAGCCGTCGACATCCACAAACGCAGCCAATGGCGTGTGGTCATGCTCATACCCTCTGCTCGCGTACCAAAAACAGAGCGTATTGTGCAGTTTTGGTTGCACACGGCCTGCAAACGTGAACCACAGGTGTGTTGCGGTGTTGACTTATTGGTCTTTTTTCTTGTTCCGCCGCGCGTTTGCTCCGTGTGTCAACCGCGACCAGTCAAAAACGCATGCCAGAGAGAGGCCTTTGGCCGACGACACCCACAAACAGCAGCCAGTGGCGTGTGGTCATACACATACCCTCTGCTCGCGTACCAGAAACAGAGGGTGTCCAGGGATGATTGCACACGGCCTGCAAACGTGAATCGAGGTGTGGTTCGGTGTTGCCTTTTGTGGACGTTGCTTTTTTTTTCTGGCGCTTGCCCCGAGTCGAGTGTGATCAGTGTACAACGCATGCAATCAGAGAGAGGCCTTTGGCCGACGACATCCACAAACTGCAGCCACTGGCGTGCGATGATACACATGCCCTCTGCAGGCGACCTATAAACAGGGTGCTCGGTGTCTTGTTGGTGGCACACGAGCCAAAACCTTGTACTGAAGCATGTTGTGACTCACAAGAACATGAATCAGCCTCTTTTTTCCTTTCAGAAGAAAATATACCTCGAGGAACCGTAAGACGGTCGTTTGGATCTTGACAATTTTTGCCGTGCAGGTCACCCCCCCCCGACCGAGAGGAAAAAAAAGTTTCCGAAATAATCACGCCGTAAGACTCAGCCTACTGGCCACGAATTGAATGTCGGGGGGGATGTGGTGGATGACTGCAAGGCACATGTGGTGATCAAGAGGCCGCTATCTTTCTGCAGAAGGCCAGAAAGATGGCGATGATCGCAGCGCATGCCGCATTGCCCACGCGACAGGCGGACTTGAGGGAATTATTGTAGATGTAATGGGTGCAAGGGGAGCGTCTTGGTAGCGTTTGCTGTGTCGATGGTGGTCTCGTCTTGTTCAAATAGGTTTTGCCAGGATTGGGCAGTCTATGCCGTTACGTGCGCCCTTTGAGTTGTGTCTCGGAAGTATGGCAGGAATGAATGCATGGTGCTGCTGTGTGCTGGCCGGTTGTTCCTTTGGGTTGCAAAACAACAAGCAAGGTGTAGGACAACTTGATGGACGTTTGACTACCCGTTTTTGAGTGGGGGCGTGTTTTTTGGCGGACTTACAAACAACCGCGTGCCGGCGTAGCCGTTGAATGAATACGTTTCTCGCTTGACCTGTATTCCCCACCTCAAGTGTTCGCCTCTTCGGTTACACAAATGCGTACGGACCTTACTTGTTTCCCTTTAATTTTCTGCAGAACGGGGGGACCTGCCTGACGTCTACTTTCTACCATGATATTTCTTTATAACTGTTCAGTACATTCATTCGTGTTTGTCTGCCGGAATACTTTCTACACCGGTTGGACATGTACCTGAGAGACGAAGAAAGGTGGGATAGGAAGAATGAATGAACGTGATTCAAGTAGCAAACGCACGGATTCAACCTGCATCGTCCGCTTCGTACGGCCTTCAAGTAAGCGCACCGGTCTTCAGTAAGGCCGGTATCGGTAACAAGGCCGGTACCGGTACAAGACCGGCAAAAGACCGGCAAGACCGGCCTTTTTGAGGACACCCGTGTACCGGCCTGATACAGGGCCGATTCTATAACAAGCCGGGTGTCCTCCATAACCGGTTTAATCCCGGGCAATGCCTATGCGGCCTTACATAGGGCCCCTCACTGCTGTACAGTAGGTGTCCCGATATAGTGCCGGTATGTGTCCAGGCGATTTGACCTGCACTAAACCGGGCACCGGCACTATTCAGAATTGTGCCTGAAAAGTGCCAAACCGGCATTATTCAGGGCCTGAAAATCCCTCTATAGTTCCGGCTTGGCACTAATCAGGACTGTTCCATTTCAGAGTGCAGCGCTTGCGCTTTGCGGGGCTGACAGAGTACCAGACGAACCGTATTTGGATCAATCATGAGGTGGGCGACGTGGGCGGGCTTCTTTATGCTTCGCGAGGCTCTTGGACTGTCGAAAACAAGGCACTGGTCACATTAAAATTGACTTGATTGACCAGATAGATTTGTTGCACAGCAGCAGTTGTTCTCTTCCCACCTCAGCGCAAGCACTCGCAAATAGTGAAACGTTGCTCCTGCCTTTTAACCGTAGACCGTGCTGCCCGATAAAAGTTCACATCGCTATCAAATTATTATCTATTGTATTGCAAGAAGGTCGTAGCACTATTCAGGCAACCTCAAAGGCACGCCTCGACAGCGAAGAAAGAAAGACGCTCATGCATGCACCCGGTGTACATTTGGAGGTAAAACATGGATGAATGTAGTGTTCCTTACATGAGTAGACTAGAAAAGTAGATGCAACCTTAAAAAGGGGTGAAGAAGATAACGAACTTCCCTGTTCCTTTGATAAAAAGCTAGAGAGAAGCCAAGCCCTCAGAAGCAAGGAAAACGACTGGCCAACCGAAAGACGTCAGTCTCAGTGCGGTCAAAAACGGGAATACTTGTTTCTCAAGGCCGTGAGAGGGTGTCATGGAGGAGGCTGAGCTATTCTCTGGATAAAAGACAGAAATGGTAGCAACTGAGAAAGGAGAACTACGTGACTGCCAAGGCTTACTACTTGGAAGACGCGTTCGTTAGTGTTTTCATCCTTCCTTAAAAGTATTTTTTTTACCACCACTACACTCTTCACTAATATTTTTTCACAAGTTTTCGGGCGTTCATCTCTAGATTCTGCGCCCGTGCGGCGTTTGTTGTGAGGAAGGTCATCTCGCTCGAAACTCTTGTTGTTCCCCTAACGCCATATTTTCCTCCTGCATCATCACTGCTATCTTTGGCAATATTTTAACCTAGTCGATCGGCAACCCGTGACATTTGAAGACGTCACGCGTACCGAGAGAAACCGAGCTATGCTTGTAGCTCGAAGGGAAACCGTCTCCGAATCCGGTCGGCGTGGAAGGCTTGAGGCGAAAAAAGGCTGTGTGGGATGTGAAGCGGCACTATTGAGGGGTTCGATGGTGCCTGAACCGGCACTATAGCGAGCAGCCCTGAATAGTGCCGGTTTGGCACTATTCAGGCCTGTGTCCGTGTCAAGAAAACTTACCGGCACTATACCGGACTTTGGCACTATTCAACCGGCACTATATCGGGACACCTACTGTTTATGGTTGTTGCTGTTGTTGTCATTACAACAAATTGTGTGTTTAGCAAGGTACTTCTTGGGTGTTACAGAATGGGGCGCGGCAGAACATATTTATATTTACTCTCGCCCATGTTCTGACCGGATGATGCAGCCCAGGCTTGATATCTATGGAGTAATGTAGCAGATTCACGTTGAAAGCAAAGGATATGACGACCTCACGCATGGCACATCGGTCGCCCTTGTATGATATATGGTTGGCTAGCAGCACGGACCATCTTGGTGGGCTGATCAGTGAGTGCGTGTTATGTCTTTGGGGCAGGTTGGGAAGTGGTGTTAATCAGACTACTGCTGTAAGGAATGGCGGATGTTGGTATTTTTGTGAGCTGAAAATGTTCGTGTCTGTGAGACTAGCATATGATACCAGTACTCTTGTAGCTGGAAGCTACTCCCTGCTTCCTTGTGTCGTCGTGCAGTAGTATATCATCGTGATGACGACATATGCCGTAGGAGAGCATCGACAGGTGAACCGGCAGCAGTAGATTGGCCACGGGGCTGGGTGGTGCATGCGGCTTGTAGGACTTTTGTGATGCACATAGATAGTCTACAGCAGTAGTCTATACTCCGGAGTCTACTGTTTTAGTTTTTACAGGAAGTTCGTGTCAGGTGAGGACGTATCGCACCTGTGAGGCAGTAGAGATCCGCGTTGAAAACCGGTACTACAGCCTTGACACGCTGCTGTGAAGAGGTTTTGCACGCAAGCAGCCCACCAGCAAGCGGCGGGCGCTACGGATTGGTTTGTTTCGCCGCAATTTGTGCGGAGATCCTTGTTCGGAGATCCTCGATTCCGCCGCGTGCATACAGCACCGACAGGCTCAAGGCCCTTCATCGCAACTGCTGTCGAGGTTGTTGAATGGAGTGTGGTGCAGGATTCACCGCAAAGCTATCTTTCTTAGACCTGAAGTCTACTGCTGTACATAGTGCAGTGCGGCTGTAGTCTATGCAACAGCAGCCGTCACAACCTACTACTTGTAGGAGATGATTCTGCGCACAGTTGCGTGAAGAATCATCATGAACAGATGGCGACTCATACATGCGGCAGCCCTCGTCTCTCGTCTCCCTTGAGGGTAGCATTGGACCGTACCGGGAGCGAAGCCCGGATCCGGGCGCATGAGGTTCGACTCTCGCTGCGCCATCCGGAGCAAGCCCACATAACCCGTGCATAACGCGCTAAATTCTCTAGTCTAGAGCCGATCGAAACCGCAAGGGTTCACAATCGGGAAGATCTTAAGTTTTTTAAGGTAGAGGCGATACACATGCACACAGAGCCCACCATGTCCTGACCCCCCATCTCGAGCTACGCACCCACGCCCACACCTGTACCCGTACCATTATACCGTTCCCGTCCCTTTTCCCGATCGCGATCGCTGGGGTTGCCAATCCGAACGATGACCTTATCTTACCGATGGCAGAGAGGCCACACATACACACAGAGCGCCCGCGTCCTGCCTCCCCATCTCGAGCTACTCCCCGTACTACTGTACTACCCGTACCGTTACCCGTTACCCTTACCCGTGACCCTCACCCGTACCGTGAACCCGTTCCCGTCCCAGATAACTGTGCCAACGTACCCAGGTTCATTCAGTCTCGAGGAGACCCCGGTACAGGGTCCTTCAATCCACCACCCTACTTGTCTACAGTGTATGTTTTGTTCTCGGGGAAGGCTACTTGTTGTTTACTGCTGTAACGTTACTAACCCAGGTTCCAGGGGGTGAGAAACAGAGGCATCGCCAACCAAAAACACGACGTCCATCAGGGGGGGTCTGCCGAGCATTCAATCCACTCGTGATCTGGTCAAATATTCGGGGTATCGATCGAGCGCACACTACAACATGGTATACATACACCTGCATGGCAGATTCAACGTTGACTTTCCTTTGAAACACGCATCGATGGCTTTATGACAAACAACACACGAATGAATACGAAGAGGACTGCAAAGTGTTTCGATTCGAAAATGCGAAACAACATCGTGTCGCCGGCAGCAAACATGACCCCGAAAAGGTTAGACAGGACACAAGACGAAGGGAAATTGCCAACAACATACGATGGTATCCGCGCATGTATTCCGACCCCCTCGAAACCATCCTATCCTGGGGTGCAGGAACCAACCAAACGCGGATGCGTCATCGATGACTTGGGGGTGGGGGGGGGACGTGAGGTTTTGGGGATAAAAAAACTCAACACAACGCCAGCTAGTGGCGGTGGGTCTGTAACCTCCGGCTTGTTGGCTGTGCGATGAGGTGTTGCGTGGACCGGCGGCGTTGTGATCGCAGAAACTGACACACTTTCCCTCTGGGAGACAGGAGGAGTCTCCCACGTATTCATGTTCCTGAGGTCCTGGTAAGAAGAACATGGAGACGATGGCTCTGTTCCGGGATCAACCAGCGATCTCCCCGCTTTCACTGAACGCCGTCCAAGCCGGCCGTTCGGGAGGCCCCCAAAGACCCTTCCCACAAGTCTGTTTAAGTTGGGGCGGGGGGGCAGGGTCCCAACGTTGTGGTATTGATCACCGATGTTGCGACCCTCCTCCCACTGGCTTGTGGGAAGGGTGTTTGGAGGCCTCCCCAACGGCCGGCAAGGACGGCGTTCGAACAAAGCGGGGGGATCGGCGGGAAAAATTGTAATGTCAGCAATCGACATATCCATCCAATCAATGTAAAGTGTGCTTCTCGCCTGGAAGAAAAATTATCGCACCCCTCGATTGTTACAGAACGGCCGGTGCCACTGAAGCTTCACAGCAATTTTTCCACCACTACGTTATCAACCAATTCTCCCGCCAGCAACCCTTTCTTTTATGGAGTACGTATGTGTGGCCTGTCTACGTACCCAATTCTGGTCCCTCCCCGTAGTCCTCGCCTCCATATTGTAGCCCAAGAACTCGTACAAAATAGCGTAGCGTTTAGCCCGAGGCGCGAGAAACATGAACTACATACCATTCCCCGAGTTGGTGTTGGCCCGGGGCTTGTCTGCTTTCGGCGTGTGCCCTCGGGCATTTATCGTTGTTTTTTAGGCGTGTTTACCAAGATAGTGCGGGTTGGAGCGCTTCTTTTTTGCACTGAGCCTTTATCCATCCACATTTATTTGGTGGCATGTAACAGATCCAGGAGACTCATGTATTCCTCCTACAGTCGGTCACGTGTAGCATATTGCAACATCACAGACCATCCCGTCGGAATTACGTATGTATGTGTACAGTTATACATTTGTGTTGGCTAGTCGTTAGAAGTGGCGGCTGTTCTGGTGTTTTTTTCCTTCTGTTTCCAGGCGGCTGTTCGACTTGGAGAGTCGTTCATGTTCTTTGAAGCAGCTGAAAAATTATTTTCTTTCTTTCTTGCACAGCAGTAGCGGGTAGAACAGCGAAGAACACCTTGCCTGGTCACAGGTCTCCGTATTTCAGCAGTTTCGAAAACGCACACGTCTGTACTAGTGGTTGTGCACGCTGGAGGAACACAACAAACACGCCCGCCCGCGAAAAAGGTCTGAACCGCTTAGTTTAGTGGGTAGGCCACTCAAGTACTGCTGTAGCAATCTAGGAAGTGGGACGCCTTTTTGGCTCGAAGCGTGGCTAATTGATGGTGCGAGGTTAGCTGGCTGTCGGTCGGTCCCATTTGCCCTCTCTTCAACTCAGCATAACACCCGCTGCCTGTTTGTTGGTTTTCTCTTTTCTACTGCTGCTGTCTTCGACTTTCGCCTTTGTGCCGCCGTGCCGCTGTGCTGCTGCTGCTGTTTTACTCTACTGCTCGGGTCTTGGCTGCTCATATTGCACTATTACACCTCCTTCCTGGCTCTCACCCTTCGTGAGGCGCAGCCAAACCAACGTTGTCGTAAATACTGTCTGTAGCTAACAAGCACCAACGACCCACAGCAGCACAGCTTGCACAAAGTCGGAACGTTGGACCGAACAGAGAGCGACGTTGTATAACGTAGAACAAAAAGTGACGATAAAAAAGTCCTGCACCCAAGTTGCTGCGGATGTGAGTTCCTTTCGAAAAAATTGTTTCCGTTCACCACCCGCCTCTTTCAAATTGTTCCCCCCCCTCCGTGGTGGGTGCACAGTACCGCTATTGACACAAGATAACACACCCCCTGGACCGATTTTCAAATCTCTATTCTCAACAACAGAAGGAGTCACAGCGCCGAAAACGGTGGCGTTGAAGCTGTCTCGTCGAGAGCTTGCCGAAAATGTATTGTTTCATTTGTGCACCCTCTTCATCGTGGCGTAATTGAGCTTTGAAAATTGGTCCAGGGGGTAATTTGTCTTGTGTCATATACGGTGCGTACACGCGTGTCATGTAGGCTATATGTACTGCGTGAAATTTTGGCTGTGTCTGCTTACTTACGTGTATCCATATCTCTTTGAATGTTTGAAATACACACACGCGCGCGCGCGCTGCTCCTGTCTGTGGATTCATCCGATCCGTCCCACCTCCACAAAAAAAGCATCCACTTCCATGTGGCCTCTACTTGAATGTGTGACACACCATGATGCTACGGTCACTGCCCTACAACATACTGTTTGCATGCTAAACGCCCGAATACAACGCTTCTTCTCCGCCCGCCTGTGGGTGTATGTGTGCGTTTCCTGGGCGGCGACAAAATGGCTGTGATGAATTTCAAGTCGTTTGGCGGTCTGGAATCCGCGGCGGTGGGAGACGTGTTCGTGTGTGCATGAGCGGATGAGAATATTCCAACGGGACTGTAGGAAGTGGCTACGCAGATAGGAATTGATAGTCCCCTGGGTTGGTTTCATGGTTGATCCACGGGACTCGACCCTGCGGGAGTGCTTGCTGTGTCGTGGCACTCTCTCTCTCCCGCCGCGTCCTGATCGTGTCTGCTGTCCTAAATACGAGTGATACCATCATCTTCAACACACATACATGGGTATAGTAACACTCTAGAGTGGTATCCCTCGAGGGAACCCGCGCTGGAGATGAGTGGCGCCGATGTTGCAGCAAAGGCTGCCGACCTCACCACTAGTACGCAGGGTAGAGTTGACAACCTGGAGAGCAAAGTTTCAGGCCTGACGGACGAGGTACAGCAGCTGCCAGGGCCTCTCCGAGCCGTCCTCGGAAAGTTTGAGAATGAGGGGGAGTCCGGCGGCGCTGGGATGGGCGCTGTCGTCACGGGCACTACGTCTGCCCGCGGTCTCGTGGAAGAGGGGCCGCACAACGACGGAATCACGCCGCCCGCACAGCACGAGGGAAGGAGCACCAGACCGGGAGCCAGCCTGGTGGTGCCAAGGATCCCTGCTGGAGTGGACCCGGGCACAGGACCGGGCAGCGGGGAGGTTATGGGGTCATCATCCCAAGAGCAGCCTGCTGCGGTGGGCGCTTGCATAGACTACACGGCTGCAGAAGAGATCATCAGCAGTAGGCCGGTTGCGGAGTGCGAACCGGTGTGGGCATTCCAGGTCCCTGCTAACGGTGGGTTTGGGAGATTCCAGAACACCGAATACCTCTACAAGATAGGCAGCGATAGTAGAGATGCAGCCGCCGCTCGAGGCGCTGGCCGAGGAGCCAGGGCAACGTACTCATCACGTCGAGAAGAGCTGTGCGGCGCTGGAGGGGGTGCCGCAGACAGCACACCAAGTGTGCCTGTTGACCGCGGGAAAGTGCTTGCGTCTAGAGAGCTGGGGCATCATGCATCCCCCCGACGCCGTCGGTGTGCCATC